GACCATTAATTTAATATTATTTTATTTTATTTTTAATATATTTACATAATATTTTTATTAAAAAAATCTGAAATTTAAAATAACTTTATTTATTTTCTATATATTTGCATAATATTTTTAATAAAAATATTATATTTAATTTTTATTTTATTTTATTCTTTTCTTTTTGAGTTCGAACGAGTTCGAACGAACAAATTTTGAGTTAATCGAACATATTTAAAGAATTTATGTATTAAATTATTCAAACACGAACGAACTCGAAATTTGACGAACAATTAAACGAACGAACTCGAACACGATTTTTTGCTCGAAAAATAAACAAAAAAATACGAACACTGTTCGAACGTAAACGAACACGAGCTCGAACAGCCCAAGCTCGGTTCAATTCGGTTCGTTTACATCACTACTTATGAGGGTCATATTAGCAGCACAACAGAGATGTATTTTTTTGAGATAACTCATGTCATAAACAAATCGAACAAACGGCAAAACAACAACTCGAAAAATCCTATCGAGACTCCGAAACAAACCAAATAATCACAGCAACATAATGATACTCGTTTTTACAAAAATGAAAGCTCGAATCATCCCCGACAAGTCATGATAACATAAATGAATAAATAAATGAATATATCGACAAAATGGAATGAATCCAACTTCTAACGAAGATTCGATAGCACGTACAACATATATTCAACATCACGATATCCGAGCACGAACGAAATAACAAAAAGGTTCGAAAATGTTACCCGTCTTCGAGTAACAAATCGGAAAGATGGGTCGATGGTTTGGGTATCTCACAGTGGCAGATAAATGCCGGAAGTACGCGAAGAGAGAGTGGCTCGCCGGAAGTTGAACCAAGTTCGCCAAAAGTCGCGAACAGGGGCGGAGCAGCTGTGGTGCTGGTCGCGCAGGTCGGACGCTAGGCTTGCTCGCCGGTGTGTTGATCGTGGAGAAGAAAAGAGCCAGAGAGAAAAAGAGTTCACTAGCTTTCTTTCTTGCTACGATGATGAACGACGAGGGAAAAATATAGGGAAGAGAGATGTGAGCGATCGCCGAGAATTATAGGGGAGCGAGAGATGATGGTCGAAGGAGAAGGTGATGGTGAAGATGAGAAATATTCAACAATGGATAAATGGAGCTTATACGTTTTAGTGGTTTTAAATATCAATTCATTACCATAATGGCTTAATAAATATTCCTTAATGAAAGAATTTTTAAAACAAAAACATAATTGGCCACCAAGAATTTAAAGAGAAATAGAGAAACAATTATGGGATTGCCGTTAAGGTTCACGGCTCACGGGCCGAATTTCTCGGTTCAATACTTACGATACTTCGGGCTCAGTTCGATCGCACGGTTCGATAAAGTAAATAACGAGTATTAATATATATATATAATACACCTAATAATATTTATTTTATAATAATATTAAGAATTTAAACATTTAAAAGCAATTAGACATTTAATGATATTTAGGCAAATAATAATAATAATAACAATAATAATAATAATAATAATAATAATAATAATAATAATAATAATAATAATAATAATAATAATAATAATAATAAAAGCAATAATAATTTAAATAATTCCCAAATTTATTCAAAATTAAACGGTCATTACAATCACCTTCTGATCCTCGGGACTATAAAATAATTCACCTTTCGTTCCCTTGGGATAGCCAACGAACACTCGTGCTTCTGAACGTTTCTCCAACTTGCCAGCTTCCTTCACTAACACGTGTGCAGGACTACCCCATATTCGAAACTGTGAGAAACTGGGCTTACGCCCTTTCCACATCTCATAAGGAGTAGTTTCTACCGACTTTGAAGGAACCATGTTCAGAATATACACAGTCGTTTCCAGTGCCAATCCCCAGAACGAATCTGGTAATCTAGAATAACTCATAATATACCTAACCATTTCCATAAGAGTCCTATTTCTTTGCTCTGCAACCCCGTTCTGTTGGGGCGTGCGGGGTGCAGTCAATTGGGATCCAATCCCAACTTCCGATAAGTATGTCCTGAACTCTCCAAAGAGGTGTTCGCCACTTCGATCAGATCTAAGTGACTTGATACTTTTACCATGAAGCTTCTCCACAACTACCCGATACTCCTTGAATTTCTTAAAGCATTCGGACTTGCGGTGCAATAGATAAAATGTACCCATATCTCGAGTAATCATCAATAAAAGTGAAAAAATACTCGAAACCTCCTCTAGCCTGGATCGACATAGGACCACATAAATCAGAATGAATCAATCCTAGCACTTCTTGACTCATATTCCCCTTTGTCGTAAACGGCCGCTTGGCCATCTTACCTTTTAGGCACAATTCGCAAGTTGGATAGTGCTCTTCCAATGGACCAAAGAGTCCACTGACCACTAACTTTTGAATCCTCCTAAGGTTGATGTGCCCAAGTTTAAGGTGCCAAAGATATGCTTGATCCATACTCGAAGATTCCTTCATCTTATTAGATTTAGTCGTGATATTATTCAATTCAGTTTGTTGCAGTGTGGGAGAGTTTGGTTTGAGAACATACAAATTGCCAACTAATGAACCAGAACATATGAAACGCTTTCCATAACGAATAATAAGCATATCATCAAAAGTAAATGAAAAACCATCCATAACGAGTTTAGAAACTGAAACAAGATTCTTTCTAAACCTAGGAACATAAAGGCAATGTCTCAAAACCAAAATACTACTATCAAAAGATAAAGTAATGCCTCCCACTACAATAACTGCCACTTTTGTAGCATCACTCATGTAGACGGTGATCTCTCCCTCCCTGAGCCTTCGAGTTTCCTGGAACCCCTGCAATAAATTGCAGCCAAAATCAGTGGCTCTAGTATCTACACACCATGTACTGGTAGATACAACCTCTAAACATGTTTCTACGACATTAACGAGAGAGTTACCTTTCTTGAGGAGAGGGAAGTCGACCTTCCAATGTCCTGACTTGTTGCACTTGTGGCATCTGCCATTCGGCTTATTTGCCAAAGCCTGAGGGGACGGTCGCTGGACAACTGGAGCATTCTGCACCTTTGCCTTTCCTGCAGACTTCTTTCTCTTCCTGCCCTTGTGAGGCCTGAAAGGTCCAGCCTGCTCGGCAACCAGTGCGTGAGGCGCCTGAGTGAATATGGCTTCCGCCGACTGAAACTCTTCAAGCAGTTCTGAAAGAGCCATATGCATCTTGTGCATGCTGTAGTTCAACCCGAACTGATCAAAGCTATTCGACAGAGATTGGAGCATGATATCAACCTGTGTTTTTCCGTCGATAAAACCTCCCATAACCTCAAACTCATTGAGTAGCGCTATAACCTCAAGCTCATTGAGTAGCGCCATAACCTTGAGAGCATGCTCTTTTACGGGTGTGCCCTCTGCCATGCGCGTAGTCATCAGAGCACTCATAGCCTCTTGCCTAGCAGCCCTAGACTGGTGTCCGAACAGATTCCTGAGATTGGTCAGTATGTCTGCCGCAATGTTCATAGACTGATGCTGATGTTGAAGAACATTTGCATCTAATGAGTAACACCACAATTGTTTACATTGAGTTTTGAAAAATTATGTTGATTTTTTTGAAAAGCCATCGATTTTCGTTAAATCAAAGTGGGGCGTTACAAATTACCCTCATTCTCACCATCAAACCGCAAACGTCATCTATAGAGGGAAGTTTTGAGGTTTGTCTTCCTTAATAATTATTCATTAATTCATCAGGATCATTCACTTTTTCATGCTCCGCAAAAAACCCCACAAGTCTGTTTTGATCAATGAAATTCACCATTTTAACTACACAATTGTCACTTTCCAAGCCCCATAATATTGCTGCAATCATTAACCTCTCTTGTTGTACAATGAAAAGAAACAACCTCTTTCATTATCGCTCTTTCTTTAGCCATAGAACTTAATTCAAGTAGTGATAATTCATCAAGGTTACAATAATCAACATGTACTACTTTGGCATTATAATAGCAATTTATTCCTAAATTCAACATCCATCTAGAATGATAAAATCGGATTGTAAACAAGTTTTTATTCTCACCTGATTTCAACATCCGTTGAAAAAAACATACAAAAAGAGAAAAAATTCAGTAAAATTGAAAATTTTAATTCAACCCTTAGATTTTTAATTCTGTAAAAAGGACAATATGCCAAGATCAAATTGGAATAAGATTTGCATACCATAATTGGACATTCTTTTCCTGGTGGGACAGACTAGTCCCCCGTCTTCCCACACCTTCCAAACCATGAGTGGAGACTGGGGAATCTTTGCTTCGTGAATCTTATTCAAATCAAATTTTCTGAGGAAGATAGTGAAAAGGTGAAGGAATTTGAGAATGAAAAGCGCAATTAGGATTAAAAGAATTTTTAATGTCGATTTCCTCAGATGTGCCGTTTTGTATTCAAGCATAACCTGAAAGTATGAATTTACACAAAAAATATTGACATGTGCTGCACACGTGCTTTCTCCAGAAAATTCGCAAGACAAACTCTAAAATCGACCATACTTTGGGAGGTTTTTTTTATTAAGTAAACAATAATTTTTTTGACGAAAAAAATCATAGATAATACAAAGTTTTTTTTATACATGTAGATATTGATTTTTTGTTTTGTTTTGTTTTGTTTTGTTTTGTTTTTTTTTTTTGTATATTTCTTACGAAAGGGAAACTCATAGGTAGAGCAATATTGGCAAAACAAAAGAGGGTAAAAAACAGGAGAGAAAATGAACGCCAGCCGATTTCTCGTTTGATTCTTTCTCTCTCTACCCCACACAAAATTGCTGCCGCTTTAAAACCTTTGCACTTTAATTTGTTTCGCCCACCACATCACATACTTTTTCTTTGTTGCTTGGAAGCAAAAACATTTTTATGCTTCAATTTTATTTCTTTTATTTTTATATTTTGTTGGATTGGGAAAGCGAGTAAAAACAAACTGTTTTCCGGTGAGAAAAATAGAAGGGGTAAAGGGAAGATCTTGATTGCCTATATCTGTTATGGAGCAGCTTGTCAACTTCATTATAAGACCACCCAGGTGACAAAAAAAGATGTTCTCTTTTATTGTTTATATATATGGTTCCTTTTTGTTTTCATTTTCCCTTTTTTCGTTTCCCCAATTTTAGATGCAATTTGGATGTTAGGGTTGTTAAAGCTAGAATCTTGGTTATATTTTTGAGATGGGCTTTGATTATATCCCTGTAGGTGTTAATTCCGTTCCAGTTAACTGTGAGTTTCTATGAAAAATTAAAATCTTTGTGGGTTTTTATCTGTTATGATTTCTTTTGTTAGTTTAGTTAACTGAATTTCTATGCAAATCTCTATTGGGTTATTTGAATTCCTTTTTATTTTTATTTTATATGGGATACATGACTTAATGTTGTTATTTGAATTCTGATACTCCTGTTGATACTGAATTTTTCGACTTTTATTTATTTCTCGTCTGCACTTTATTTTGGTGAGCGAAGAACTTGTGTGCCAAGGCAATATCAAAATCCGTTTTTATGTTGAGCAACAACTTTATCGAAAGTTGGTGACAGCAATTCCGGTTGTGCTGGCAAAGTTATTTTAAGTTTGATGAAACACGTGCAATCACGACAAGTTATATATATTCCCGTTCATACTCAAAGGGTAAACGCCGTTGGGCATTTGACACGTTGAGCGCGTGGTTGATAAATACGCTGTGCATACCGGTGCTATAAGGGCCATTATATTAATTTATCATTTGTATCGATACTTGTTGATCTAATGCCATGATTTGCTCGAAGTGCATGAATGCACGTCATTGTTGATAACAGCGGAATATATCCAACGTTTTGAAATTCTTGAATTTGCAGGGCTGAGTACAATCCGAAAAATGATTTGTTAGATGACGAATTTGTGTTAAAAGGCAAGTGGTACCAGAGGAAAGATTTAGAGGTATGAGTTAATTTACAACGATCTTTGGGTCCACATCTCTCTGTCTCTCTCAACACACACATAATATGTAGTTGCAAGTTGATGACAATCATGACATGAAATATATATTCCATATACCCCTCGATGATTGCATTTTGCATTTTCTGAGACCTTCTGCTTGAACTTACGAGTTGATGTTCGATGGTTGCAAGACTTGTGGTATCGGATCCTTTCAAATGTTCAACTGAGCTTCAAATATATCTGCGTCATCATACACTTAAAAGAACAATAAAGTTTTTCAAACATGCATCCTATTATAGCTGAAAGAAGCGATTATTGATTCCCAATCCTGCAAATGGAGTTATTTCATGAATCATTTTGTTTGCGGTTATCTGGAAATTTTCCTTAAAGTAGGGTTTTCTTTTTCCCCTTCATCCTGCAGGTTGTAAATAGTCGTGGGGATACTCTACAGTGTAGCCATTACATGCCTATTGTTCGTCCTGAAGGAAATCCACTGCCCTGTGTGATTTACTGCCATGGAAATAGGTTTGTAATTCTGATTACGGAAATAAATGCGATTCTTGAAGTCTTTTTATCATTTATTATTCTGTTGATGTATTATTTAATTGTATTTTAGGTTCCTAAGTTGATGCAATTAATAATGTTAATGCCACTATCCATTAGTTTCACTTAAACACGACAGATTGAACAGAAAAGGTAGTTACTCGTCGAATATGGATTTTTCTATTTTATTTCTCATTTCTCTAACATGAGTGTGGCTTCCGGTACGGTTTTACTTAGATCCATGGTTTGTGTTCCGTTAAAGTTTTTCCTCGGATTATTAAGAGAAATTATTTTGTCAGAGTTCTGATCCCCAGTTCAGTTGAGGTATCTCTAAAAAAGAGAGGCAAATTTTCCTACTGGTGTTGCATTAATTCAAAATTGGTACTGATAATTCACCTCATAGGAATCGGAAAATTTAGGCTGGAGATCATCAGATTTACTAAGACCAGAGGATAATAGTGGATCAGAATTTAATGTGGAATCATTTCGTGGATAAATACAGAAGTTGTTTTGTTATTATTGGTATTAGTCTTGCCTTGTACACACACCTTATCTTATACTACAGAGGATAATCATGTATCATGAGAAAAGAACCAATCAGCATGTGAATCCTATAGTAGAAAATTGTTCTGATTATTTCTCTCAAGGATTTTTAGACTCACTTCTTAAAAGAGTCATATTTATGTAATCCAATCTGATTGAGAGAGAGAGAGAGAGAGAGAGAGAGAGA